CCCCAAAACCCCAAAACCCCAAAACCCCTAAGCCAGGAGTAAAATTGAATTACGGTGGACTTACAGACTTTTATTTTGGTATAGATTTCTTCTTCCTTCTTCACATTCCTAACATCTTGACACGTCTCTTCTTGACAGTCTTTGCTAGATCATGGATTAAGAGGATTTTTCAATATTTTAGAGTATTTATTAGCTTAGCCTTATTACCTGATTTCTTAAATGGCTTTCTAGTAGTGTTACGAGCGACTGTAGGATGGTCTGACTGTGAAGGAGGTGGTTTTGGGGAGGAGGAATGGTCTTTGTAGATTTGTTTTGGATTTGAACGGAAATCATCGATTTCGAAGAGGTCTGTGTTTGGGTGAGGAGAGGGACTCTTGGGAAGGAGGCTAGAGGGGGAGAGGTGAGAAGGAGGTGGGATTAGGAGCGTGGGGGGTTTTGGATTTTGAAAATTTGGGTTGTTTGAAGTGAGTTTTGCCCATTTTTGTTGGGTTGAGTTTTGGAGGTTTTGAGTATTTTGAAAAGAAGATGTAGTTATTTGGGCATGTTAGGAAGTTTTCAGTTAGTTTAGCCAAGAGAGAAGTGGTTTCAAAAATACAGAAGGACAGAGTAATGTTAATACTTAAAAATCATCAAATTCCATTATCAAATCAATTGGCAAAATTACAACAACAAAACCTTCAAACATATTAATCTCTTTAACTAGACTATTGAGAAGTATGTTTCAAATTAATTTCTAATGAATCAATCATCTATAAGTTTTTGAGAATGATGAGAATAGAGAATTAAGACAGGACTGCATGAAAAGATTGATTAATAAGCTAAGGCCACATAGAATCTTAGCTAAATATATGAGATATGTGATGCTGATTGTTTCAGAAACACATTACTTTACTGATAATTCTTGAAGAATAGAGAAAATTATTCGTAACCATTAACGCTCAAGCTATATCGAGACTTTACTTATTAAGACAAAACGCATTTTTTATTGCTAAAATTGATAAACTTACCAAGCACCTTGATCAGGAGCAAGGATACTCCCTTGGTTTGTATTGGAAGGGTTAACATTCTTTTCTTTCTTCTGCATACAAGGATGCTTCACAGCAGAAGGATTATATCCTTTTGTAGAATCCATGATTTCTTTCACAAAATTCTCAAAGATAGTCATAGCCTTGTTAATTTTAGTTCCTAGAAAAATGAGATTGTTAAAGGATATAATGACTACCGCTGCATATTTGATTTCTGCCTCTTCTTTCCCCAATTTTGAACTGCTTCAAGCTGCATCTTCCTTTGATGATTCTGGCTGATCTTGGAGTAAGTTTTGATAACTATCGACCTATCTTGAGCATTCTGGTCAATTTTTGGATTCATAGTATCTGTGAAATTCTCTGAGTAATCATTTACAGGAAGATTTATTGGCACCTATGAGCTTAAACCATATCCTTACAGAGCTGAATACCTGAGATAGCCTATTTCTCTTATTTGGGAGAGCGTTTAGTATCCCTTGTTGTCTTCTAAAATTAAACATAAATAGCTACCTTGTCATTTTCATTTGACAGATTTGAAAACACTGTTTCACGATTGGTTTGAATACCTTTCAGCTTTTGAACCTCATTTAGTTCCAATAATGTTTCCTTCCCCCAACTGTCTCTGGCATCTTGATTGATATCCTGATGAGTTTTGACCTTCTTAAGTGCTGCTCTGCCACTCTGGATCTTATCGAGGTAATTCTCTACATATGATGTCCTAATCTTACCTTTTTCTATTGTTTTAGAGTACCTGCCAATATTATTATAATTCTTTGATCTATTTTTGTGAAAAATAACCTACATCGTTGCTAATCTTGCTCCTAAATTTGCTGAGACAAGTCTGCGTTTCTTAGTCTTTTTCTTGCTATTCCTGAGCTGGTTCCTTTTGCCCTTCTCTACCTTTAAGCTGATAAATTTCTTTCTCTGGCACGTATTGGGAGTGAGATTTATGATTGAGGGTTTTAGAACCTATAGTAATTCATAAAACCTACCACTTTTCGGACCTTCTCTGGCTCTCTCTTGATAATTGGCTCTCTAACCTATTCACATTAGAAGGAATATTGGGATTTTAGGAATATTTTAAGTAATTACTTTAGTATTCCTGCAGACAGCAGAGAAGGGTCGCACCCTTCTTCGCTTTCTTTTTGGAATTTCTTTGCTAATTACTGAAATGTTTTGGTAAATGTTGAGCCATTCTATCAGAAAGACCTCGCTTGAGTAGACTTCTATTAGTTGAATCTACTTTCTTGGTGTTCATTGATTTATTAAGGTATTTCTTTTCATTATTTTGTCACACTGATCAGAGTTATACCAGCACAGTTTGTTGGCTATAATAAGTCATTCATAAAATGAATTTAATATATTTTAGCATTAATAGGAATGTTAGATTTGAAAGTCTAAATCGAGGGAAAAGTTTACCATCATAAAGTCAAGCTCTGATTCAGAGCTCCTATCATCATTTTTAATGAAAGAGAGTTGACTTTGGGAGCCAGAATCTTTTACATCCATTTATTTTTCAATATTTTTCATAAATTACGGGGTTTTGGGGTTTTGGGGTTTTGGGGTTTTGGGG